TATCCATTGGTTTCCTGTGCCTTCGCCAGCCCTGGTACCAGAGGGCGCTGCCTCGAGCACCCAGAGTGGTGGCATCTTCAGAACCCAAAGAAGGAGAGGACTGGCTCGGTGGCCCAGGTGCTATGTAGGGGCCCCGAGGGGGTCACCACAGGCGTGCAGCCGCTCCTTCACACCAGCATCACACAGATGGGATGGCACCCAGTGGAGGCCTAGGAGGCTTCACTGGCAGACATGGCCAAACGATGCCCTCATGCCCAGGAGACTGCACCCGCTCCCAAGAGAGACCCCACCCAAGGGCAGAGGCCAGAAGTGCCACGGCACACTTGGAAAAGCTCCCCAGTACAAACCCCAGGCACCTGTGCTGGGGAGGCCAGGTCCAGCCAGATCCTGCAACGCCTGGGGCTGCACAGCTGCACGCTGGACAGGGAAACCTCGGGACCCACCGCAGGGTAGCCACAGAAAGCATGGGAGAGAAATGGGCAACCAGGGGGAGAAGGACACTGACAGTGACCACCAGGCCCAGCACCTCAAGGCAGTGACCACTGCCCGCCAAGGAAGCGGTTTTTGGATGCTGATTTGGACAGATAATCAGCCTGAGCTGGGCGATTATCGGGGACACAGGACGCCAACTGGATACCCCACGCTACCAGAGAAACTCATCCGGGCTCTGGAGCAGGTGCTCTAGAGGGCGAGGCGATCGGGTCACCAGAGCCTAGGAGTCTGCGGCCAGCCTGAGCAGCACAGAGAAGCCACAGCTCCTGGACAGGAAGGAAGAGGAAGAGAGGAGGAGAAAACACAGAGGGGAGGAAGGAAGCGGGCAGGGAAATTGTTGCTTTTCCCATAGGTGTGACAATGGTATCTGGGTCAGTTTTTCAAGGCTCTTTAGCTTTTTTTGTGTGTCTTTTTCAGGCTGGCTTTTTTTTTTTTTTAACTTTTTTTTTAACTTTTTTATCAGTACCGGGGACCGAACTCACGACCACCTGCTTGCAAGGCAGGTGCTTATGCCGCCGAGCTAAATCCCCAGCCTTTTGTGTCTTTTTGAGACAAGGTCTTGCTGTAGCCCAAGCTGGCCTTGAACTTGCAGTGATCCTCCTGCCTCAGCCTGCCTAGTACTGGGATGACAGATGTGTGCCACCATGCCCCGCTAAGGGTCCTTTATCTTTAGGGATGTGCGTGGGAACATTTACCGACAGACAGCCACGATATCTTGATTTCTACTAGGTAACCCAGCACTGGAGAAGTGGGGGGGAAAGGGGCAGGCGAAGGGACACTGGCCCTGATTGGTGACTGTGGGCCCAAGGTGTCCCTGTCCTGAAGAGCCGGGTAACGGAAGAAGCTGAGCGGGATGGCTCCTGCCGGAGGAAGCCAACAGGGAGGAGCGGTTCCGTTCTGCCCCACATTTTACCAGTTTGGGGCTCTTCTGTCTTTCCCAGGACTGGAGCCTGGGGTCAGGGAAGGCCTACAGGCGCTCTAGAGATGACCTCGAGTTGTTCTAGGCCCGTTTGGCCGCCCAGGCTCACAGGCACAGAGGCTCTGCCACTCACCCAGCTCTCTCTCTCGGCCAGGGGCCTGCACTGGGACACTGCTTTTGGGTGGAAGGACATCTCCAGGAAACCGCTGTCCTCCTGTCTGAGGCAGGACTCTCATAACTCCCCGCCTCAACTTCCTTTATTTTTTCATGAGCCGGGGTCTAGTTTTATAATTCAGGCTGGCCTTGAACTCACTGTGATCCTCCTGCCTCAGCCTCCCGAACGCTGGGATGACAGGCGTGTACCACCATGCCCGACTCAACTTCCCCACCTAAAGGCAGAGAGATGCATGGGGAGACCCCTTCCTGGCCACATGGGGCCTTTTGGACCCCACGTTATGGGAGTGGCCCTCTCAAAGCCACAGCTGTCCACTGTTTAGTCCTCTGAACTGTGTCATCTCCTGCAGCCTTGCTTGGGTCATAACCAAGGCTAAAGTCGTCACAAGTGACAGCGGCCGCTGGAGACAAAGCCACATCCCCCTCCACTGCACCATTGGGTCAGGCCAGCTCTCGGCCCATGCCAGGCTCCTCAGCCTCTCATTCGTTTTGGGTGCTAACACTCAAACCCAGAGCCTCTGCACTGAGCCACACACCTCAGCCTTCTCTGTTCTCAGACAGGGCTGCGGTCAACTGCCAAACTGCCGACACCATGCCTACTCTGATGCCCCCGCCTTAGTCTCCCCTGAGCCGAGCGCTGGCATTGCAGCGGGTGATGCTACACCCCGCATTTTCCGCCCAGCTTTAGGGGAGGAAAAGCCAGTCCTTGCAGAGTCCAAAGCTGCTCCTGCTCGGGTTCTGGTCACCATGGCCTCTTCCCCACTGCTGGCCCTGGGAAGCAGCAAGTGGTGGCTCCGCTGTGGACATCAGAGGGCCTGGGCTCAGAGACACTGACATGGAGAGGTGGCTCAGCCGAGGGACCTCTGCCAGCCAACAATGGCTCTGCGGAAGCTGTGCCCACGTGGCACCAATGCGAGACCCCGCCCTAGCCAAGGGCAACTGGTGCCCCAGCGCGCCCACATCTTCCCTGGAAAGGCCCAGAAGCAGAGCCCCACATGCACCGACAGGACATGCAGTCTGGCCTGAGGTCTGGAAAGCTTTTCCTGGGTTTTGCCCTTGCAGTGTAGAGATCAGTTGGGCTGGGACAGAGGTAGCTCTGGCCTCAAGAGCCAGGAGACAAATGCACTCTTTCCTAACTCTGGAGGAGCGACTTCATTCCTGGGAGTCTGTGGCCACTGCTTCCGTGACACCTGCCTGGTCAGCCCAGGACCCCAGAGGCTGGCCAGGAAATGGTCCCTCTGCCACACACACTTCCTCTTGCCTCAGCTCCACGTCGGCAGCAGTCAAGAATCTGGCCTAAAATAAGAGACCAGGAAAGCCGTTCAGCTTCAGGGTCCAGACAGGCAGAGGAAGGAAGGCACTGATTTTTGTCACAGATGCTCTTGGACTCTGAGTTCGAAAACCGGAATCCTCTTGCAGGAAGCCGTCCGATGGATGCCCCGGCAAGCTCTGGGTTCCACCAGACACCAGGCCCCTCCAACACCCCAGTACCCCCCCAAGACACTGAGGGGTAAGGTTTCCCTCTTGATCTCTTTTCCAGTAAGAGATGAAAAGAAAACATAAGCAAGCAGGGGGAGGAAGGAGTGGCCCTGGGGCCTTTTGCATGAGGGGTGATAACTGTCACAGATACAGGCCCGGAAGATCCACAGAGGTAGGCAGGGCCTGGGGCAGTGTCCACTGCCCCCCACCAGTCCCCGAAGCCACTCTTAGAATAAGAAGCCAGACGTGGTAGTGCATCCCTGGAACCCCAGCGCATGGAAAGCCGAGGCAGGAAGATCGCAGTGAGTTCAAAACCAACCTGGGCAGCAGAGTGAATTCATGGCCAGCCTGAACTGCATAGCAAGATCCTGTTCCCAAAAACTAAAGGAGAGAAGGAACACAAGAAAGACCTCAGTGCCTCCTTTTCCTCCCTAGAACTCTGCAAAGTATACCAGGGGCACTCACTCACAGAGAGAAATTACATTGGCGAAACAACTCCCCCACCACTAAATTTTATTTCTGGGTCCAGCTATATCATTCCCAACTTCCCCGAGGGGCAAAGGGGTGACCGCATCAGTTGTGTCACTTTTCTTTTTTATGAATGGACAGGAAGGAAGACACAGAGACACACTCACAGGAAAGGACATTTGAGAGTTGACTGGAAGCCACATTCCCATTTGCAGAAAGAAGGAAGAAGGGAAATGAGAGAGGGGAAAGACTGGGATGATGGAAAGAGAAACACACACACACACACACACACACACACACACACACACACACACGGGCGCGCGCAGGCACGCAGAGAGAAAGGTTTGGTAGCCCTCTCATTACAAGTTGGTTGGGCATAATGTAAACACTTCTGCCTTGCTTAATCACAGAGCGCTGCCCGTTTAGGTTTCAAAGGCGGCAATAAATTGGGCGTAGCTGAGTGGAGGCTAAAAATTAACCAGCCATCTCTGTTTCAATTTGTAAGAAAACAAAAGCAGAAAGAAATTATAAAAAGGGAAAGGAGAAAGGGGAAAATAAAAAGAGACCAAAGAGGAGAAGGAAGCCACACTGACCCAAAATGCAGGGTGAGGCTGGAAAAGCCAAGCAGAGAAGTAAAACAACTTGGAAGACAAAAGGGAAAGTCGGTTTTAAAGGTTTTGTTTGCTCAGGACCTCCTCCGTGGCACTGCTCGCCTGCCAGGCCTGCTCCCCGGTAGGTGACTCACTCTGGGTGCTCATCCTGGGCCCTGACACCCTGGGGTCCCCACTGCTGCCAAGCAAGGCACAGGAGAAGCCGGAGGGAACCTCTGCTCCCTAGCAAATCAAAGCACCCTCGTGCTCTCCAAACCCCAGCCCCAGCCAACAGGGCTCCTGCCCACCCGCCCCGCATCGAGCCCCAGAACCTGCCCACTGGCTGGCAGCCTCCTCGCCTCTTTTCTGTCTGCTCAGTCTCCTCGGAGGGGATTTCACAGGGCCCTCTCTCCACCGAACTGCCGCCCTCTCTCCCCGGCTGGTGCCAAATCCGGCTTTTCCTGGGCCTTGGGGCAAGCCTCAGGAAAGCCAGCACCTGCTCTCTGAGCCTCACTTTGAGTCATTGCAAATGAGCAAAGATTGACCCTCCAACCGCCTCCGACTCTCACCAAGGCAAAGCGGATAGCTGTGGAGACCTCCCGGCCCCATCCGAAGTACCCATGAGTCCTCTGAAGACCAGGACGGGGCTGTGCGGGAAGGGTCCCACGGCTGGAAGCCAGGGAGGGACGCAGCAGAAGGGAAGAGAGAAAGGCACAAGCTAAATGTGAGGGGTATGACGCAGGCAGGCCCAGCCGGACGGCAGGCTGGGCACCCTGGCCAGGCCCTCGGCGCGTTTCCCTTTACAGTGAAAGGAACAAAACACAGAGCAGATGCCAGCGAGGAAGACCGAACGGGGAGGAAGGTGAGGGGTGACCTACCCGGAGTGTGGACAAAGTAAGCCAGATAAAGATCCAGTTCTTTGATTGTGACTCCAATGTGATGGGGCTGCACGCACAGGCCGGGGTTCGAGCACTGGGGCGACTTGTAGAGCCGCTCCCCGTCAGTACTTTCCAGGGGGATCCCCTTAAACAAAATCACCATGACCAGGTCCAGCCGCCACACCTTGTCGGCCTGGCGCAGGCAGTCAATCCGCCGGATCTTGCCCTTCTGGTCGGGGTTGGACAGCACGCAGCAGGGCGGCTTCTTGCCCGTGATGGTCAGCACGAAGTCCTCGCGGAACTCGGGCCGGATGTCTTTGCGTAGCTTGGCCAGCAGCCGGGATGCCCATTTCTGCTTGATCTCGGGCTTCTCGCCCAGCAGCTCGTCCTTCACGGCGCGCTCCTCGTCCTTGGACATGCGCTTCTCGTGCTTCTTGAAGTACTTGCGCTTCCGCGCCTGCAGGTTGAACCAGGTGTAGGAGAAGGCGCGGACGTGCGGCAGCAGCGCCTCGATGAAGGGGTGGAACTCATCCTGCAGGCGGCAAGCCGGGAGCATGCGGGGCGGGGACGCCGGGACAGGGGAAAGAGAGAAGGAGAACGCAGCGTTAGCGGGGGGGCACGGAGAAAGCCGCCTTCGCCTCCTCCTCCCTCCCCCCGGGACTCCGCTCGCTCGCGCTCGTGACCGTGCCGGGAAAGTGAGGCTGGAAGTCACCACCAGCGCTGCCGGGCGCCTGCTCCCATCTCAGCGTCTGCAGCCAGACAGCGGCACCAGGAGCCTGGTCACACACCTATCGTCTCCCCCTCTCCCTCTCCCCGGCTCCCGCACACACGCGCACACGCGCGCACACACACACAGACACGCACACAGACACGCACACATACACGCGCGCACGACGCCGGTCTCCCCGCCAGGCTGTCGCGCCCATGACATCTCCGAGTCCCATCGCAGCCTGCACGCGTGTCAGCGTGCCCGGCCGTGGGCCTCTGCGCGGACGCCCGCCAGGGCCACGCGGGGGCCACCTCCGTCCCCGTGCCGGCTGCCCCGGAAGGAAGGAAGGAAGCGGAGGGTGCCAGCCCAGCCCATCGAGGAGGAAGCGGCTCTGGAGTCCCCTCCTCGGGCTGGTCCCATCTCCCTTCCCCCTGGTACAGCTGGATCCTCCGCCCCAGCATTTTTTCATCAGACCTCGGTCCTAAATATGTGATTTCAGCTTTGTTATCGACAGCGACACTAATGTTAATCACAGTAATAATGAACAAAACACTTCTTGTTAGCACGCACGCGGAGGTGGGCTCGGCCTCGGGAGGGTGACCAGCACGCGAGTCGGCCTGCGGCCCCTTCCCCAGCCCCCCAGGACCCCGGCACCCTCTTCCCCACTCAGTCAGGTGACAGAGGGCTTGGGCTCGCAGATTTTGGGGTTTTTTTTCTTTTTTCTTTTTTGCTTGTTTTGAAGTTAAATAATTGATTTCTGTTCACAAAAATAAAACTGGAAAAAATTAAATAATTACCATCGGTCTGAAGCACCCGGCCAAGCCCCACGCTCCTCGGTCCCAGATTCCCAGTCCACAGAGTTGTGAGTTGGGGGCGGGTGGGGGAGGGGAGGAGGAGGGGCGGGAGGAAGGTAAATGTTTTAAAGGGGGTTATTATTGGTGTTCTGGGGAATGGGGGCCGGGCTTGGGTGGATTCTCAAACCCTTCCCCCCCGGCCCCCCCACGCTCCATTGCACTGAAGGGGAAAATTAATATTTTTTTTGAAAAGGAGCAAAAAGAAAGAAAGGTCAGGGATAGCAAGCGGGGAGAGGGAGCGAGCTGGCTGCCACGCTCGCCAGGTAAACAAAAGCCGACGTAAAAAAATTTTTTTCAATTGCCCCCCCTGTGCAACCTATTCTAGTTTAAAAAAGAAAGAAAAGGACAAGAAGGAAATAAAAATAGGAGAAATTGAAAAATCAAAACCAACCTCCCACCATCTCCCTCTCCCACAACAAACGCACCCCTGCCCCACCCCCTCCCCCTGCAAAACAAAAACAAAAACAAAAACCAGGAGAGAGAAAAGCGGCAGCTGAAGGCAGAGGCTCTGGGCTTTGGCACCGGCAGAGGGGTGTAAACTTGGAGCTGCCTCCCTCCGCCCGCCCGATCGGAGGAAAAGGGGGAGCTCGCAGATTCCCGGGGAAGAGGACGAGTTCTGACCGGCTGTAGACCGTTGCTGGCAGACGCATGCAGGAGAGAGAGAGGGAGAGAGAGAGGGAGAGAGAGGGAGAAAGGGAGGGAGAGGGAGGAGAGGGAGAGCAAGGGAGGGAGGGAGACCAAGCCCCAGGATGCAGGGAGGACGCGGATGGGATGGAGTGTGTGTGCGCGCGTGTGCTCGGGCGCGTGTGTGTGCGCGCGTGTGCTCGGATGCATGTGTGTGCGCGCGAGTGTGTGTGTGCTCGGCTTTTGGGGGGTTTTGTTGCTCTTTCCTCTCTCTCTCAAACTCCCTCTCTCTCTCCCCTTTCAAGCTCAATCCCCATCCACTCGCTGGTGCCAAGCCAGTTAGGGGGGTGGGGAGCGAGCGCGAGAAGAGAGAGGGAGAAAGAGAGAGAAAGAGGGCGCGCGGGCGAGGATCCACCTATTTGGCGGCCAGACCTCCCCGGGTAGCCAATGGCCGCGCGGGGAGGCGGCGCGGGCGGGGTGGGAGCCCCCGGCAGGCAGTTGGAGACCAAAAACAATTTGCCCAATCGACAAGTTCACGTCTAATGAACAAGCGAAAGTCCAGCAGTTATGAATTTTTCATTCCAGGCTTCCACCCGGGTCCATTTGGCTGCAGTCACCCAGCAAATTTGGGGGGGTTGGAGGTGGGCCGGGGGGGGGGTGCGGATGGAGGAAGATGCGGAATATTTTTTGTTAAAGCCAGAAAAATAAATAAATAAAGGCCTGACTCTGAGGGGGAGCCCCAGAAGGCCTTGGGGGAAGCAGCTGCGCCTTCTCGCTCTGTGTTTTGGTTTCAGTCTTTCTCTCGGCCGGCACACTCTCTCTTTTTCTGTTTGTAGTTCTCTTTTTTTCTCTTTCTGTCTCTCTCTCTCTCTTTTTTTTTTTTTTTTTTTTTTTTTTTTATGTATGGAGCACACGGGCGGGTGGGCCAGTGGAAGTTTTCTCCCGGCCCTGCACTCGAGCCACTTTGCTATGAACAGAAATAAGAAGAAAGCGCCGGAGAAGGCCAAAGCCGGCAGCACCTCCACGCCAGCCTGGGTGCAGCCCGCGCCTCCTCCCCGCCCCACACCCAGCCACACACTGGGGATGCCAACACCGCCATGCAGCCTGACTCTCAGAACTGCAACAGTTTATTAAAATAGTCCCCTGTCACAGCACCCTGCTGACAGGCACTGCACACAGCCACACATACAGCAGCCCTGGGGAGAAGGGACAAAGGCTGGACTCTGCCTCTCACTCCAGGGGGCACCGGCCTCCTGCCCTCTTGCCCCTCAACCCCCAAGGTCAAGTGTTTGCCTTTCTAAGTTTGCCCTCCCACTGGATCTGAGGTTAGCTCCACACCTGTCTCCCACATCCATCCAGATTAGAGGCCCCCCAACAAAGTGGGGGCTGCAAAAACAGAAAAGGAGAAACCCAGGACAAGGGGGAGCGTCAGCACACAGTGAGCAGAGGGTCCCGCAGGGAAGCTGGGCCAGCTGAGGCAGTCCGGCCAGGGACCTCCAGCCAGCCACCTAGCCTGCCAGCCAGCCAGCAGGTCTCTAGCCTGGGCCCTCCTCTCAGCTGGCAGCAGGCTGAGCCCTGAGGAGAAGGAGTCCCCAGTCTTTAGGGGGCCCCTTTAGATAGGAGTGTGGGACAGCCAAACCTTAAGACTTGGGGAAAGCAGGACAGAGGAGCCCACTGGAAGCCAGAGGGAAAGCAGGACCAAAGGAAGAAGGACGGACAGATGGCAACCTGATCCCACCAGAGCCCTCTCCCAGGCCCAGCCCTCAGCTGGCAAAAGAAGAGAGGTTCACTGCTCCTTCGCCCCCTTCCGCTCCAAACCCAGCCCGCTGCGGCCTTCCTTTGCTGGCGCAGGTTCTGGAGGAGGCCTCTGGCCCTGGGCCGGCCCTGCACCCCAATAGCGGGAGAGGGAGAGGTGCCGCCCTACATCAGCTGGGAACCCCACCTTCAGAATGGCCACTCCAGTGAGGCCAGCCCAGCGCCCAGGGTGCAGGAGGCAGGTGTGGTCACCCACAGGTCTGGGGGCTCTGCTTAAATAATTCAGGTCCCATTAAAAACCAGTTTGGGTTACAGCCTCCCAAGGGAGACGCACCCTGTGAGGCACCAAGCTGCAACTTGACTTCCATAAAAACCACAGGGGACTCTGTATTTGGCATGGGGTGTCTTTGTGATGTCCTGACTCTGCTAAGTGTTAGCCGCTGACCAGGAAATGACCAGGGCGGCCCGGCAGCAGCAGCAGCGAAGGCTGCGGGTTCCTCCTAGAGTCCGGTGGCCCAGCGTGGCCAGCCCAGGATGAGGGAGGTGGGGAGCAAGGGTCACACGCAGTGGGGGACGCTGCTGGGGGACCTGGGGAGCTGCAGGACTCCCTTGCTGGGAGAGGGGAGAGACTCTGGGTCCCAGGAGGAGAGGGAGGCCTGGAAGAGGAGCCCGAAGTGTCTGCAGGCCTCAGGGATCCTTAGGAGCCTGTCAGAGGAGAACACTGGTCACCTGCCCTTCTCTCCACCGGAGGTAACCTTGGAGGTGTGCAAGGCCCCAGGGGGAAGCCCTCCCCCCAAAAGCTGCCTGCAGGGCATTGAGAAGGCCAAGACAAGGTCAGGGAAGGCAGAGTCCCCCTCCTCCATCAGGGCTGCTAGGGTTCCTCTGGAAACACTTCAGCCAGGCATGCACCCCTGCCCCCCAGGCCCCCAGTGGCTGCGACAGCCTGGACACGCCCCTCAGACGCCCTGGACAAAAGGGAACTGTCCCCCTTTTGTTAGGTGAGAGTCCAGGTTCCCGCTGGAAGATTACCTGTCCCTGTCCCGGCCTCCCTGCTTTTCCCGCCTGCCCTCCTGCAGCCCAGATGGCTCGGCACCCACAGCCAGGACCAGAGCCCAGCTGGGAGCCCTCAGAGGGCTCGGGCACCCCCAAGCCCCATCTCAGCTGGCCAGAGTGAGGGCACAGCAGATCACCCCGAAAAGCAAGAGGCCGAGGGAAAGGAAGCAGCGGCGAAAACACCCAGGGGAAGGGAAAGGGAGGCTGAAGGACAAGGGAAAGTCATAAAGAAAAAGCAAGAAAACTGGGGGGAAGTTGCCTCCCCAGGAACAGAAAAATCAAGACACTGCCAGAAATAAAACCTGGGAAATCCGCATGGGATCTCGTCAGCTGGAAGTAGCTGTGTCTTTGTGAATGAAAGGTGGCATTCATTTTTATTGTTGAGGATACAGAATTTGCTTTTTTTAAAAAAAAAAGTTTCTATGGAAAGATTTCTCAAATATCTATACCAGTTGCAGTCATCACTAGGAGAAATTAGTCCTTCCTGAAAAAAATTATAATAATAGTAATAATAACATAACTGAGCAAGCCATAAAGAAAGAGAGATGAGGAGGAGAAGAAAAAGAAGGAGAATCAAAAATCAAACCTAGAGAGACCGAGAATGCCAACCTGGTTTTTGCCAAACCAGCAAAAATAAATAAGGTAAAGATACAGGGAAAAAAGACAGTAAAAAATGGGGGAAAGCAAGAAAAAGAAAAGAGATTTTTTAAAAAAGTAAGGCTCTGGGATGGGGGAAAAAGAAAGACAAATTAGCTAAGGGAAAGAACTGGTGGAAAAGTGAGATGAGGTCTCAAAGCTGCCACAAAATGCAGTCCTGTCAGCTGAGGCCGGGGACTTTCTGAGGAAAAACAGAAAACTGCATGAGGTTCCTCCTTTACTCACACACACGGCATTCAGAATTCTTTAAGGAACAAAATAATTTTCCCAGCCTGGAGCAGGTTTTGCAGCTGGACCAATACCTGCCACGAGTGAAATTCTATTTTGGAAGATCTAGGCCCCTGTCTCTTTACTTTTAAGCAAGTACTCCTATGCCCACAACCTGCTGGCTTGAGGGCCCAGGCCCAGGCTGATCCCGGGTCCCTGTGATGGCCACATGGCGCACAAACCTTTCTGAGGGATCCCTCAGACCCCAGCACCCATTCACCACTGCACACCCGCAGACACGGTGAGAAAAGGAAACCAAACAGGCCGCAAACAGAGCCACAATTAGTTTGCCGAATTCCTGGCATTTTATTTTCCAGTCTGGGTCTGAATAGAAAGAGGCCAATTTCCCATCCCTGAGATTTCCGCCTCGCCCACGGTCACTGGTTCTGGAAGGCCGCAAGGAGGCCGTGGCCAGATTTGTGGGCAGAGAAGGGGACGCCGGAGTGGACGGGGTGGCGGCGGCAGCCCTGGACACTAAGGAAGGGACCCTCCTAGCGGTGGGTGGCGCCTGGGGGGCGGGAAGGGGATCTGCAGCCAGAGCAAAACCATCGGAGAGTCTGCAAACGCCAGGAATGGAAACCGGAAAATGCACTTTTGGAAGAGGCTCAGAAAATTTGGACAATGCGGGTTTTTGGCTGCCTTGGGCCTGCTGTACTGCGCTCTCGGGAAAAGCAGCCGCAGGGTCTGTTTTGGGGCACCCTAGGCAGCCCTGCACCCCTCTGTCGGATGGGATGGGTAGCTGCGGCCTGTCTCAGATTGAGGCCGAACCTCTCCCCTGTGAGCCGCCCTCCCTTTCCCTGCCCTTTCTCCCGCTGACTACAAACCAGGAGCAGTGGCCTGGGACCGGGCCAACAGGCAGCCTTGTTCTGGCTCGGAGCGCCCGCTGCTCCAGGCACACCCCTCACCCTCTTGGCACAGCAGAGCCAGAGGAGGAAAGGGGGATCTGGAGAGAGGATCCATTCTCTCCAGTGCCACTGGAAACTGTTTACTTGCATCTTGTCCTCGATGGGGAATGGGAAACAAAAAACCCTCGTCTT